ACTAATAATATATTATTATGTAGTATATATATATATATGTATGTATGTATATATATATATATATTACATATATATATGTATATATATATATATAATATTACACATATATATGTATATGTATATATATACATATATATATGTGTGTGTAAGTATATATATATAATCATGTATATATATATTAGTAAATTCATCTTTTTATAATACACTTCTTGTCACTACGTCACTACAGCGACACGCTCGTCACGGACACTGAACCGTTGAAGATCACATTCAACGCAGATGACTCGCTCTCTCTGGCCCAGCAGATAGACACGATGTACTCGTACGTAGAGTCAGAGTATTGGGAAGACGCACACGGGTTCTTTGAGCGAGACATCAACGTGTTCAGTCGAAGCCTGAAGGATCGGTCACAGTTGGGGGCTGGCGGGATCAGTGGCACGTCGAATGGCAATATATTCGCACGCGAGGAAATAGGTAAGGAGGACGTTGGTGCGACGGGTGGGGTGAATAGTGCCATGCTGGGAGGCACTGATTTCTCACCTGAGAGAATAGGCAATGAAGATGCTGTGGGGATTGCGTGGCGGGAGTTGGCGGTAGAGACGAAGAAAGCGTACATTCAGTCGTTACTTGACCGTTTGTGCGATGGCAATCGAAAGGTGTGTACCGATGCTCTCGGTGCGCTGCAGTATCTGTGCCAGGGTAACTATGGTAACCGGTGCGAGGCTGTGCGTAAGGATGTTGGCCCAGACGGTGTGGTGGAGGCACGAAAACGGAATGAACAGGCGGTCTTGGCAGAGTTGAAAGCGAATGCCAAGGTGGGAGGTGTATAAGATTTACGTGCAGAAGGATTATTTATAGAATGCTCTTGGGAGTTTATGCTGAGCCTCCGTTACGGCTGATTGGTTGTTTATTGAGCTCTGGTGTGTTTGTAGTTTTTGTTCGCCTTTCTTGTTGGTCTATTGGGGTTTCCGTGCAAGGTGCTATTGGTTGTCACATATGAATACAATTCCGTCAGTACCGACTGAGAGTGCATGCAACTCCACTATGTGTTGTGTTTCAGTCAGAGTACGTGGGGCCTCAACGTGCGATCCCAGGACTAAGCACCACTCTCAAAGGTGCAGCAGCCAAGAAAGGCTGGCTGAGAACTTCCCAATTTTCCCCCGAAGTTTATACCCATCCCGTCAGTTGCTATTGTTCAAGATCACCATATTGCATATGCAATGTCCTCTAACTACAACCGTTCCCGCTTGTTTTTTTTGTTCCCGTGCCACCAGTTGTTATTCTCATTGGACACCATCTCGCATGTCATGTGGTGCCTATGCCAGCAACTGAAGGATAGGCTCCAAAGCCAGACTTCACATAATCCCGGATCACCCCCACACAGCCGAAAACAGTCACATACACAATCCCAGGAAACACACGGTCCAAAAGCTACCAAGGAATCTAGGAGGAGTATTGGTAGTAAGGCTGGCGTGAGAAAGGGACTGGGTGGGCTGGGCATGCGGCGAGGCCTGAATGTGGTGTGTACCATTGTGCTTGTGCACACGTACGAGTGCGACACAGACACACGCCGAAGGTTCAGGGCCTACTTGGAGAGTCCCATGTCCTTCTCTCGCGACTGTTTGCTGATGAGTGTATACAGTCTGGTGCTCCAGTTCGGGCAGCCGGCGGTAACTCATCTACCCATTAATAAGCTGCTGCTTCTGCTTAAGACTGTGCTGGATGCGTTGGTGGATGGCCGGGGTGTGGAAGGCCAGGAAACACAGTACAATGCACACGCACGAGAACTCGCGCACGAAGATGTGTGTACGTGCACACCACATGAGAGTGTGCAGGAGGAAAACTCTGAATCTGGAGCTGTACACACAAAACCCCCAACGGAAACACATGCATCCGCAACCACAAACTCATATGGGTACAACGACGCCGAGAGACGCGTAGAAGTGAATACACGCAGGCAATTACAAGCACTTGCTACCGAGAAGCCTATTGGACCAGTGACACGGCATGAGGGGTCACAGGCTGAGCTAAAAAACAAGGCACAGACTGAGCTAAAACCCCAGCCACAGGCTGAGCGAAAAAACCAGCCACAGTCACTAGCATCCACTGATACGAAGCTGGGTAAGGATGAGGTATCAAACCTGAATACCGGTTCTGCCGAGTGCAGCCCACCATCGCTCACACAAACGAGCGCACAAACACGTACGAACACGTCTACACACGGACCTGAGCACCCCCACTCCCATTCGCACTCCGCCATACGTGAAGCTACCAAGGAATCCACTCCGGGAAGTGATAATGGCACCGCCATGCACAAACCTACTACCACCACGAAACCAGTACACGCGCCGCCCCCAAAGCCGCCAGCATACAAACGCAGACCCAAAGCATCGAGCGAATCCAAGACGGGCACGGGCGAAGTACCGAAGATCGTGCCAGATAGTGTGCTTCCAGCCGAAGCTCGTGTGGATGCTGAGGATCGGTTGAAGGGATTGCAGAGAAGTGTGACGCAGCCGAATATGCGCACAGGGATGGGGTGGGCTGATGGGGGTGGCCGGTTGGATAGGCCTGCAGAGAGAGAGGGGGGGAGAGATACAGGCAGCACAGGTATTGGACATGGGGAGAAACTGATGGAAAATAGAGGCGAGTTAATGAGCCGAAACGATATAGACTCAGTGCGGGGCAGCAGCGGGCATCTAGCACCCATAGGGACTGGCGAATGGGTGCAGGGAAGCAGTGGCAAATTAACGGACACAGCACGTGCGGTCAAGGAGGGAGTTAGTATTAGTACCGAATTAACGGGTGAGAAGTGTGAGACAGATAGAAATAGATTAACGGGTAGGAAGAGTGCGGCAGAATTAGACAGAGACGGGGAGCCGGCGGGAGAGGAGGGTAGTAACGGTTTAGCAACCGATGACGCCCCGAACGCTGGAAACGGAAACAGTACGCAAGTGGTAGCAGATAAAATTGTGGAGGATAAGTCTTCACCTGGGGACTCTCGAGTCAGTGACCGATCTCCTGGGGACTCTCGAGTCAGTGACCGATCTCCGTATGTGTCTCGCAAGCGGGGACGTGCTCACATGCACACGCAGCCGTCTGTAGCCCCGCCTAGTTTCCCCATTCGACCGACAGAAACAGATTGCGGTAGCGACACGTGTGTTGCGGCTGCGGAAAGTGAGACTTCGGAAGGTGAGAATGCGGGAATTGAATAATTAATTATGGTTTGGTAAATGCGTGTGTACCTTGCATGTACACATACACATATTTCTATATATATATATATGTGTGTGTGTGTATGTATGTATGTATGCATATATATATATATGTATATGTATGTATGTATGTATGTATGTAGGTATATATATGTGTGTGTGTGTTTGTATATAAATATATATATATATATATATATAATATATATGTATATATACATATAGATTGAGATAGGTTTGGTTTTATATTATATATATGTATATGTATATG